AGTAACAAAATTAATAAAGGACCAAAAGGAAAATGTAGTTGAGGTTCCAGCTTTAAGAAAAAAAAATTACATAAGCACGAAAACACTGGAAATAGTCACATAGGGATGCAGTTTAGGGGTTGATAACGGGTTTTTGCGATTTACGGCGAAACCTAACCACTCGGCTTATCCTAAACTTTTATCAAAAATTGCCTTGATCTTTTTTGGTATCTCGAAAGTGTCTTAGAGGTCATTTTATTTGATGAAATGTCTACTTTCAAAATGCTTTTGTGGCTTATTTATCGTTTAACCGATGAAAATTGCGAAAAAATTAAATTGTATTTCTGTTTCATATTTGCCCATTATTTTCAATGATTTTAGATTTTACTCATTATTTCTGCTAATAGTGGAGTATATCTACATAACATAAGATGCTTTTATGTAAGATTATTACAGTTGAAACCATGTTGAAAAAGTTAAATTAAGAACATAAAATCTTTGCTTACACATTTTAAGGCTGGAATGCAACTATGATAAATCTATTTGAAATCTTCTCTCATGGCCGCTTTTAGAGCTTCAAAATACAAAGAAATATCAAGACGAAGTTCTTGGATGAAAAGGGTAGTTTTTTTTGAAATCTTCATGGAAATTAAATCACATATGGACGAGAAAAAAATTAAATACTGAAAAAATGTTTTTTGGCCATTTTGAACGTTAATTTCGGATGATATTAAATCGAATAATTCTAGATTTTCTGTTATCTACAACTTTTGCGCCCCAAATCACGAAAAAACCGTTATCAACAACTAAACTGCATTCCCTTTTAACCACTTCTAGTGATTTCACGTTTAAAATGTTCCTTTTCATAAAGTTAGAACCGCAGCAATATGTTACCTCGATAGTCACCAAACTGTAAGCAATTTGTAATGTAAAGTTTAATAAAATGTCTGTAACATACAACAACAAAGTTCGATATTGTTGTGTGTTATGTTCAGAGACTATAATCTACTATTTGAAGTGTGATTTTTATCAGGGCTTGTGCTCTATTTTAAATTAAAGGACACCTAAGCAGTAAAATCATAAATTTGAAAATTCGACAATAACCGACCGATGCAAATATATAACAGCGGCACTCTGACATCAGGTATATGATGTGCTAATAAGCGGCGGTCGGACAAGTCGACTCAGCTTCTGACGCCTTGTGGCGGTAGCTGGAAGTGTGGAAATTGCCCCATTTATTAGGTAAGGGTGCGCGACCCCTGTCGCTGACACTTACCTCTCCTTTACACCTGCTGCCGACGTCGGGATTATTATTGAGAAACCCCCGCAGCAGAACCGGATTTCGATGATTTGAAGTCCATTAACACCCGTTTCCTTTAGAGAAATTGAAATTTACTGCTCAGAACTGATTGTTTGACACTATTAAGTGATGCTCAAAATTGTATCAAATTAATTTCGATGTATATCGATTTATTTTTGTTAATTCAGCACTGGTTGCATTATTGTCGTTGTGTATTGCAAAGACATGAATAACTAACCTACTGTTGACCACAAGCGATTTAAAGCTCTAATTACAGGTCTTTAAGTTTGCTTTCGATGTCAGTCCTTGTCGAAAATTGTACCCAATTTCAGTTGATTCATACACAAATATAGATGTGTTCAGAAAGAGGAACGAGGAATGAGTGGGATTATGGGTAGTATTTTATATTTTATATTTTCTTCATTTACAGTGTTTTGTACTTCATCTTTGCGGTTATTAAACGAAGATGTCTTGTCAGTTATTATACAGGGTGAATCAAAATTGGCGTCATTCCTTTTAAGGAGTGATAGAGGCTCCCTTGGAGAGTACGAGAAAAATATAGAAATTTTCTAGAAGATATTAACAGTTGAAGATCGAATTTTAACTTTGTTATTAAGCATTATTTTGAAATTGTTCTACGTTTAATTGGTAGCATATTGGAATACTTCAGCATTCAAAAAGAAAAATTATCATCTTTGCTTCAAATTACGAAAATTTTTGATATCAAAAAAGTTCTCTTCTACAATTTTTTGATGAAAAGGCACAGCGGCAATCATATTTTTTGTCATTAACAGATAGTTACAGGTGGATAGCCCTTGTCAATAACTATAACTAACAATAATTTGTTAAACTGTGACTTACTTTGAATCTCCTTTCACGAATTTGCGGATATTCGATTAGTTCAAGGGAAATGCTACAGTAATATAGCAGAAGCTGAAAGAACTCACGCCAACAAAGGGCGAGGAGAGTGGTTCCAGGAAGATAGTGGACGATAGATGATCGGGTTCCAGGCACAGAGGAACACGTATTGGACATAACCGAATCAGGGCCTTCCAGGGGCACTCAGAGCACAATAACTGACACTTTCCCAAGCACCAAATAAATACCGAGGAAGCGCTACGTTCTTACCACTTTTGTACGATACACACAGCACAAGGAGATACAAATGGAGCGTTAATTAACTGAATACGAGAAGGTGCTTGATAAGAGTGGATAATAAGGAAATTACACAGGCACTAGCTTGTTTGGAGTTAACCATTCAAATGTTTGGTCTTGTATGGTTTGAGGGTTGAGGTTATGAGAACAGGTTGACATTTCGTCAACAAATCTTGTTGAATTTACCGTTTATCCTTGTCTATCTTATTGTCAGTCTGTATAATACCATGGTTACCGGAGTTTTAAATAATTACGAAGCCACAGGTATTTGCGCAATGTTAGTTAGGCAGATTACCCTGAAAAACATTGCTGCCGTATTTCTGATTTTTGCAAATTTCTCAATTTTTAATAACAATTAATTTATTTTACTATTTTTTCTGTACTCCTATAACAGCGCCAGACAACACCTCCAGAGGAATGACGCTAATGTTGAATCACCCTGTATTTTGTGAGGAGTTTTAGTTTATTTGGTTTCAGTTTTTCTGTGTATACCTAGATATGTTTATGTAAAGCTTCTGCCGGGTGCATAATAGGTTCATATTCAAAACGCTAGGAAATGTAATAAACAATCCCTCAATTTAGGGTTCAACAAAAATAATTTTATTTCAAACAACAAAGCTGTACATGTTCATTTTTTATTAATCGAAGATCTGGAGCGTCGCTATGTGTTTACTCATCGTTTTAACATACATTTAACGCAACCATCTAGCTAAGAAAAATGTTTCTCTGTTTCTGATTACCGGAAATAGTTTTTGTTATCTTAAATGGACAATATCTGCTTTTTTCTACTGAAGCGACTTCTCAAGATTAACGAAATTACTTGAAAAAAATAAAATTGGGATGACAAGAAGAAATTAGAATTATTCCACCGTATTTAACATATATTTTCTTTTTGTAAATAACTTTTCAATTTAATTTTCAGTATAATTATGTTCTTATTAGTTTTATGCTCATACCTTGAGACAATCACAGAACGTTGTTTTTCATATTTCATTGGGATTCTCTGACTAACTAATATGAATACGTTGTTTAATGTAAAAAAAATAACTCAAAAAGTCAAAGAAATTTAATTTTATTGAAAAATCGGAAATGGAAATTTAAAGCAACACGTAATTTTATTTCCGCTATATAATGGACTATCAGTTTGCATCTTAAAAATTGCACGTTTAGAGAAATTGGTGCAGACATTTTTAGTAGAAGTGCTTTTTCGAGTTTTGCATCTAGGTCTATACCTAATATGGCCTATACCTGGCATAACAAATATAGGAAAATAGAGCCGTTTCACTTCAAGTAAAACGTGCCGTTTTTTTTTTATATTTGAATTATATGTCATGAAAAGGCTAATTTCCGATTAACATATAGGATACCTTGGCTGAAATTTATTTTTTTGCATTTGTTTGCAAAATTTAAAAGCGTTTTGTGTTACTGACCATTGGAAAAGGTATCGAATTGTGTTCATAATACTTAGAGATTATTATTGGTTCTCGTACGATTGGCGACAGTAGGAGAAAGCAGTATTTTCATAGTCTTTGTCAGTAGTCTGTGTATACTGATCGATAAATACGCACTAAAACAATCTTATACGCCCTCTATACAAAATTGTTTTTGCGTGTTTGAAGGTTTGCTTCCACTTCATCGCTTCAATTTGTGTTACAATAAAAGTCACTTTTTGCTGCCGTAAAAAATGTAAGAAAGTACTTTTTATCAGAAAAATGCTTACTGTCGCGGTTTATTATGAGTTAAAAGTTCGACCAGCGTTTCAGTGGGTGCTGCTACAGATTCGACATGAAATTAGTAAATCTACTGGTTGAAAATTATTTATTAACGACAGGAAATTTTAGTAGGTTTACCATATGGACACAGCATCAAATTCGCTATCCCCTCTACAAGTTACTTGTCTGCCACTCAAAGGTAACATGTATAATACTGTCGATTTCAAAACTCTTGGGAGACCAAACAGCAACATTTTTGACACTAGACTCATATGAATTAAACCATTCAGCATTAGATGTCAAATTGTCGTCTTTTAAAAGATTCTATTTTAATAAACTTCTATAATAGAAATGTTTTAAAAAAGTAATTTTTCATATAAAAACCAATAACGGGTAAAAGTTTTATTTAATCATAATAAGCAACTTCTCATCGAAATGTTAATGCAAAATTCACATTCAGCGTTTCTACTGATAATAAGAATATTACTACAGGTTTGTCGTTTGATATCGTTTTAGAGCATTTGATGAGTAGAAATGTTCTCCTGTTCGTCATCTGAAATACCATATTTGCGCATTACCAAATAAAATGAGCATTTCAGAAAATTAACGCGGCGTTCTCCTACTAATATAGTTATTGAAAATAATTCCTTCAAGCTGATTCATTAAATTTCTGTTATTCGACTTAGAAGGTAAAGCACGCTCATTTGTTTTGATAGATAAAATAAATTTTCATGCACAGTGCTCAGCTAGTGATTTCTTATCATTATAAAACTTTATATCTGTACACGTTTAAATTGTGAAATTTCCTATACAGTCCACCAAATTTTATTAATTTCGGATAAAGCAAAGCAATTTAAAAAAATATATTATCCAGCATCTTAAACGAGAATTGGGTTAGAAATAGATTCAGAGTAACCATTAATTAGCTGCTGATAAGAGATGTTAAAAGAAATAACATTGGTTATCAAGTTATACTGCGTTTCGTCTCCATTGGTTGGTTAAAGATTATTATTGACTGTAGTTTCTCTCGTGTTGTTGACCTGTCGCCGCAGATTATGGTGTGTAGTGTTTTTCGCGAAATTCGTGTTCCGAAATTGCCGTTGAGCAAATGAACAAAAAAAGGTGCCTGAGTTTAAAATACGGAAAGTGTTTTTCGTTTAATGAATATAATCGTGTGGTGCACGCAACAAATTTAGAAAATGAGGTTTAAGCAGCAGAACACTCGTCGAATTCTTCCAGCAGGTAAATTACTTCGTTAATGTTTCCAGAAGCTTAGCGATCTGCACCACTGACTATGGATTGTGGTTAGATACAGAATTAAGATTTGACTTGAAAAAAAAATTTCGGATTCTTCAGTGTCTGTATTTGCAGTTTCCAATATATTTTGATTCATTCGATTTTTAACTTCCGCAACTTCTACCTTTGTAAACACCAAATATACAGTATACTGCAATCCCATGTGTAACTGGTATTGACTAAAATAATTTCCGGATGTCCTTTGGAAGCTGCTACATGAAACTGTCGAAAACGTTGCTTCCAATTTTACCATCAAACGCCAAAATCCTAAAAGCAATAATTTCATTATTCCTCTTTCATTCAGCGTTTCTTCTTCAATCAGTCCAAAAGTGTAAAAATTATACAGTTGTTGGTACAATGTTGATGGTGGAACGTTTTGTGACTGTTGTTAAATGCACAATGATTTTGTGTGATTCTGTATCACTGTTTAAAATAATTTTTATTTTAAAAATTAACAAAGCCTTACCTGTACTTTGCTATGTGAAGCATAGCTAACATTTGCAAGTTTCATTGATAAAGGTTTTGATTTCTTCCTCTCTGATAACTCCTATCTGCTAACTTGCGTTTGATTAATCCTACTTCCCGATTGGCATTGCGTTCATGTTACTTCCAGTTGAATTTTGTTCGTTTTAACTAAAATCGTCTTTTAAATTCTTATCTTCGGTTAACTTTTCAATTTTAATTATTCGTCGTTGTTTTTTATGTAACATTTCTTACATATAGAGTTGACCGGCTTGTTGATCTCAGGTTCAGCTGCGGTTCTGGGCTAATTTTCAGAAATTAGGCTATTAGAAAATATAAGTACGTCTTTTATGGAATATTGGTGAATCTTCTCGGCTTACATTATTGTACTAGGTTCTTAAAATCTGAAAAACTGGTTAAACCTAAAACTGAGCTAAAAATGGTAAGAGCTACAACGTGAAAATATCTGAAGATTTCAAAAATACACTTGACGTACGAATATAAACCAATTTCAAATAGTAATCCTGTGATTGGAGCTGCACCTGGATATTTTATTTTCGGGCCGGAAATCTGCTGTTTGTATTTGAACGTTTGACTGATGGTCTTTTAAACACGTTCGCTTTATGATTATTATTTCATATCAATACGAAGAATTTTAATTGTAATTTTTTTAACCAATGTATGTAAGTTATGATACAGGGTATTCTATATCCGGCAAGATACCCTCTTGGGTGTGGGTAGTTTCTTAACTTGGATTATAATTTTAAGCAAAATCTTAAAATCGTAAGAATTATAAAGGTGGACGGAAACAAATAACCAATTATAAAAAGTACTAAAATGTATACGTTTCACTCTTAAACTTTATAAATGAGCCTTATTAAAACACACGCTTGACAAATCCCAAAGGTGGGATAAAGTTCCGGCAATTGTGATATTAGAGATTAGACAATGATGACATTAGGGATTTGGGATGTCAGACGCTTACCTTACGGAGGGCATATAAATAGCCTCTTTGCTATCTGCCTATTATTGAGCCAGATTTTATGAGAAAATTCCATTCTTTTTGTTAGCTACTTGAAAATTAAGATATAAAACCATGGAAATTTAAATAGTTGAGCCTCCTTAACAAATACATTTTGAAACCCTGCAAGGGAAAACCTTTAAATATAGCGACTTTTTATATAAGCGACTCGCGACTTTTAAAGAAAACAGTTGAATTAAAAACTATGATAAAGCGCAAGATTTATCTCAATTATCCAACTTGTTTGCTGCTGTGTTTTGTTGAGAGTCTACTGATTTTCTGTGACTTTTAAGCAAAACCTCAGTCATCCACGTTTCGTCGCGTGAATTACGAAAATTGCTGACTACTACCGTATGTAAAGCGACAGAAAAATACGACTTTCATACTTCATACAACAAGAGTAAAAGAAAATTACATAACTATTATTGAGTTATTGAGCAGCGCATATTTTAGACGCGGAAAACAAAAGAATGTGTCTGCCGGACCATTTGTCAAATGTCAACCTGGTCTTCCAGTAACGCCGAGCATATATTACTCGGTAGCATAACGCGTGCAAAATCTGACAAACTATATGTTATTAATCCCCTTAAGCATCATTACGTGTAAATTACTGGTTTAACTATAAACTTGGCAAGGTGAGAAGATAAATTGTTTGGTGTTAAAATATCGCAGAACCCCGCTGCTTTATACCGAAGCAGAGCGAATGACGCTAACCAAACAGTGAATAATAAAATAATAAACAGAAGCTTTCATATCAGCTCATAGATCTAAATTAGTTCAGCTTCAGTAACACACTCGCCATTAGTTCTGAGTATATTTTTATATTTTTCAAAGTACATTGAGAAATAAATCCTTATAGCTAGCAACAAATAAAATAGTTGATTGCACTGCTGTTATCGAAAAAACAATTACTAATCTGGAATGAAAAAGTAATAAATTGACTTATTATTGCCATTAATATAACTTATTGGCAACTTACTAAGAATTGTATTATTATAGACAAGAAAATATGAAATTAATTGAACGAAACACATACAGGGTGATTCAAAATTGGCGTCATTCCTTTTAAGGAGTAATAGGGGCTCCCTTATTGAATATTGATATTTTTTTATCGATAATTTCTAGAAAATAGTAACAGTTGTAAATCGAATTTCAACTTTGATATTAGGCATTATTCTGAAATTGTTCGATGTTTAATTGGTAGCATATTGGAATACTTAAGCATTCAAAAAGAAAAATTAGGATCTTTGCTTCAAATTATGACAAATTTTTATATTAAAAAAGTTGTTTTCTACAATTTTTTGTTGAATAGTCAAAGCGGCAATGATGTTTTTTGTTATTAACAAATAGTTACAGGTACATAGCCTTTGTCAATAATAACAATAATTTGTCAAACTGCGACTTACTTTGATGTTTCTTTCACGAATTTACGGATATGCGTTTAGTTCTCGGGAAATGCCAGAGTAGGATAGCAGAAGCTGTAAGAACTCACGCCAACAAAGGACTTGAGGTACTGAAGATTGGCCTCAGGAAGATAATAGACGGCAATAAATGTTGGCGTTCCAGACATAGAGGAACAAGTCTTGGACATCATTGCAGCAGAGCCTTCCAGGGGTGCTCAGAGCACAATAACTGACACCTGCCCAAGCAGGAGGAATACCGAGGAAGGAACCTTCCTACCACGTATGTAAGATACACACAGCACACTGACACATTAAACCAATGGATTAATTAACACCGGTACAAATTGAGCAGGAGTTAATTAACCGAATACGAGATGCTGCTCGATAAGAGTTGATAATAAGGAGATTACACAGGAACTAACTTGTTTCGAGTTAGTGACAAATGTAATGTATACTTGTAAACATAAATTCGAGGTTATGAGGACATTAATTGACATTTTGAAAAGGTGCGTCATAGATAAAGACATACGTTCCGAGTTCCAAAGAATCATGTTGAATTTACCGTTTATCCTTTTCTATTTTATTGTCACTTTCTGTATAATTCCATGGTTACCTGAGTTTTTAATAATTACAAAGCAACAAGTATTCCTATAAAGTTAATTATGCAGATTACCTAGAACAACATTGCTCTTGATACCTTGAAAAACATCACCCTGTATACATTTTTCACATCTATCAATTTTTTTTTTCAGTTTTAAAAGTGGGTTACTGTATAGCACTTCTTGATTCGTGACATCTGCATACCGGCTTACTGTAATTTGTAATCAAATTAATAATTCGAGGTTATGAGTTTTGAAATAGGTTCCGTCATTCAACGATTCCTGTTGAATTTACCGTCTCTTTCTTATCTATCTATCTTACTGTCTCTTTCTGTATAATTCGATGGTTACCGGAGTTTTAAATAATTACGAAGCGACAGGTATTTACGTAATGTTAATTAGGCAGATTCCCTTAAAAACATTGTTACCGTCTTTTTGATATAGTTTTTTGCAAATTTCTCAGTTTTTAGTAACAATTGATTTTTTAAAACTATTTTTTCTGTACTTCTAAAACACCGCCAGACAACACCTCCAGAGGAATGACGCCAATTTTGAATCACCCKGTATWCAGMMAAGTATTATSTKYATCGTATTATTATGCTGCACGTTTGGACTCATTAAGTATCCWAGTGACTAAACWRTRRYCAAAGTGWYGTTMAATAAYTGTAKKYTACACCAAYAGWTTTCTCTAGTGAAAMMTWGAAGCAAGTATWAGCCTGAAAAWATRTMTTYTGTKTMCTRKMTTCTAACAAAGATGTGACTTGAGAAACAGGGTTGTGAGGTATTCAATTTTAGAAACAATTTATATTTTCGTGTCGTCAACATAAAATCTTAAATCTGAATTTCTGTGTGTACTGTTACCTTTTGAGGTATCTATTTTGAATTAGTAGTCAATTTTGGCACAACCAGTTGCACATAGTCGCAATTTTTCGTTTATTTTATTTACGATTTTTTGGTCATTGCCCCTGCTCGTACACATTAATGTGACATCCGCCCAAAAGTTAATAAAATAAAGAAATTATTAAATATCCTATTTCCAGCATCTGCATAGATTCCAAATAGCAAGAATTCCCAGAATAATGTCGTGTACATCACCATATCTGCTAACTATTAGAATAACTGCAACCTCTTTCTCATAAAATGTTTTATTGAGATAATGTTGGATAAAGAAAACCGTTGTTGTACCGTGTAACGATCAGTTTTTACTAACTGCAACTACCAGCTATTAACGCTGGGCTTTTCAGACTTGCCAATAATTAATGCACAAATGGCGACAAATTTCAATTTTGGGACATCTTTTACAAGTTTAATGACTTGTTGACAACAAATGCTATGTTTCATAAATTGTAAATCTACTTTTTTCTGTCAAGGGACAAGGTTTTCCTGATAATACCGGAATATTAGGTTTAAGGTGTTTCTTTACGTTTTCTGTATTTGGAAGGACGGACGTTCTTTAGAACT